TCCTCCCATGGCCTACCCACCTTTCTCCCAGATCCTTCCAGTTCCCTCACACTTTTCTGGGAAACTTAACTAACGTTCCCAAGAAAAACTGCCTTTGAGCGGGTGAGGGGGCGTACATGAGATGAAGAAAAATCACCAGTTACAAGAAATTCCCTCGCAACTCTCGCAATAAATTTCTCAGGCTAAAATTCGACCCCCTGCTGGGTTCTGCACAACAATTCTGTACCCTACCCGCTCCTTCCTCAGCCCACGGCTGCCCTGACCTTCGGATAGCTCACGTAATAAGGTGGCAACACTCCTACAGGTTTCCCAGAATGTTTGAAGAATGAGCTCAAAAACTGGCTGGTTTGCCTCATCCTCATCCTGCCTCACGTAGTAAAAGAAGTACCAATGACGTCATAATACAATCTACAGTTGAAACAACGAAATGACGTGAGAAACTGGTTTTTCATGAAGGAATGAATGGAATGTACAAGAAGTGGAGGTGTATGGATAATGCGACGCGAACGCAATCGAACCACCAGCAGCAGCATCAACAGGCCTAGCAGAGGACACTGCACTAGCCGCGCTATGTTCCCTCTCTCCCCTCGTCAACTCGAAAATCTACCACCGCCCCCACCCCATCACCCCAACTGAGCAAACAGTTCACACGGCTGCCGATTAGCCACCGTGTACTCACCACACTACAGAACCTGCGCGAAGAGGGTGCCCATAGGTGGACATCGATACGTGTGCCAACAAAGTAAGGGAGCCCCGCCCACGATGTGGACGAGTTCAATGTGCTTTGGGACTTTTTTGACAAGTTTTTTTTGTCAAGTGGGCGGTGATGGTTCAGGTGTGAGGTAATGGCAGTTTTGCGTCCGCTGGTATTTTATCCGTGAAGAGTAGGAAAGCATAGTAGGACTTATTTGGCTCGGTGGGGGTAACAGGCAGCTTGTCAACTCGAGTGTAGTCCGCACCTTGTGAAGAGCCTGCCGAATTCCTGTAACCCAAGTGGTTCATACCACTTCTCAGCTTCAGGAGAGTTTGTGCCTCAGCGAAGTTGTAAAGTGTTTAATAGCATAAACTGGTAAAAGAACCAGCGAAAGTGCAAAATACCCCTCCTAAGGCGAATTGCAACCTGTCCTCGAATGCAAGCACTGTGAAGGAACCCCGAGCCATTATTCTGAAGATCAATACCTCTAAGAGTGAGCTATTAAACGCGCGTTTGTTAGCAGGAGCCCATATCAGGTTTCAGAGGAATCCATAATAGGTCTTGCTAGTGAGCACTTCCGCCAACTCAAGGCTTTCCTCGATTATCTTGTCAGGGCAGGTTTCACCCTTGAGAAATATTTTGAGAAACCGACCCGGCTTGCCCCTTTCAATAATGCCCCGTCTGATCCCACTGCGCCCCTCCACATCAGCTTATCCTAGCACCAATCTTCTTCCCGTATTATCCCAACTCCAGCTTTCTGGGAAGTTTCTGGGGTTGTTCTCTCAGAATTTCCCAAATACACCCTCAAGAAACTGTCATCGGCCGGAGGGGCGGTATCTAAGGGCACTGGAAACTGGAAAAACAAACAGAAGTCAACAACCGAAAAAATTTTCATAGTGGTGGGTTCGAACCTCCCCCCTCCATCGACGTAAATACGACTTCGATGCTGGAGATTTTCCGCTGTGACGTACCTACCGTAACAATTGCAAAGACTTGAGGAGCAGGCAGAAGAGCGGAAAGGTCGCTGTTCTGGAAAAAGGGCGCGTACATAAACAAAGGATGTGATTTTCTGTTTCAGCGGGGGTGAGATTTGTAGGGGTTTACTATGGCTATTTGTGTGAATCACGCCTTTATTTCAGCTTGGAGGGGCCGGGGACGGTTCGACTGCAGCTTTAGTGGTCTTGTTATTATGAGGCGGAGAAATGATTGATTCAGCTCTGAGGACGTACTACCAGGTGCATTCCATATCCTGAAGGCGGGAAGGGCGTGGCTGCGTATTTCATTTGAACGTTGCGGAGGCTGCGTATTTCGTGGGATATTGTCATTCTGGAGTAGTCGTAGTCATGTACTTGTTCAGCATAGGACAGTGTGAGTGGAACTATTCGCAGATAGACGCATACTAGCTGTGTTCAGAAGATAGTGTACGCAGCCCCGCCTCCGTTACTGAGATATGGATTGGAAATCCATGTAGCGACGGAGAGACCGGCTACCCTCTTAGATAATTCGCTCGACGTATTACAGCATTTCTAATCCAGCACGGCGACTGATTAAGTCCTGATGGACGAACACCGGAAACGCGCTACCATTGGTAACCACCCTCCGTCGCCGCATTGCGGGTCTCCCAACCACGAAATGGCTTTATGATTCCAGGATGACGAAATATAATCGAATGTACGGCAAACTTTTCAGGGAGGGGTGGGGGGGCGAGGAAGGAGGAGGGTGGGCTGTGGTTTTTCGTGTGGAATGTTTGCCTGAGATACTTCAAAGTTTGCTTTCTTGCCTGACAGCTTTTCGCGTAATCGTTCACGTGGTAATTTCGAGTGTTTTTGTAGTGGAGGATTGTTGGAGATGGGGCTATTGCGGTAAAAAGGGGTATTTTGATAGAGGAAAAGAAGCGATCATGAATCAGGATGAACGAGAACTCCTTTCTGAGCCTACGGGGCACAGCGCACATCGTTGGATGATCCCATCAGGGAGGGGCCAGGGAGGGGAGATGTATTTAGTCGCAACGGTCTTTGGAGGAGGATAGGGTCGTGCTCGATCTAGAGGGAATTCATTCCAACACTATTCTGCTGCTCGAGCGCTAAATTTTGGACTAGTTTGCAAGATGGAAGGAAGTTTGTGGTAGGGGTTTTATCAAGAGCTTCCTTTGAGGGGAACTATTAGGATGCGCCACGCACTCCACATCGCGCCAAATCCGTGGTGGCATGCGGCTTGGCCTTCTAGACTAGTCTTATACCAATCTGCCGGCCCCGAAGGGATGAAAGGCTTGGTCGGGACGGCAGGTGCGATCCGGGATCTGCTCAAGGGACCACGCGCAGTTTCTGCTACTCCGCCTTCCGCTTTCAGTCCCTCATGACACATTGGAATCAGAAAATAGTGTTGAAAATCCACTCAAAAATAAATAACTTTATTTCTGGAACGATAAAGGTTTTAAGTAGACTAGACAATTGGCACGTCCTGCACTATATCAAAACTACAACGTACATAACAATAATTATTGATCGATGAAAGAGATCTACCCATACTCATAGTTAATTCAGTAATAGCAAAGGAATCATAAAGCTCAATGACGTCATGAAATCCGATTCTAAGCTAGTTTATGATTTTTAAAAAATACGCTATATTTCTGTACATTCCCCGTGGTGGTGGTGGTAGTGGTCCTCGATCAGTATCCTGAAATTCAGTAATTTACTGTTTCACAAGGGTACGGGTAAGGTACTCACCAAGGTTCACCGGCGTGCCTTGGTAATGATCTTTGTCTGATGAAGAGCTGCAAGCAATCAATATATCGATTTTGGGGTCTATCTTGAGAGTGGCGCAACTTACGGTCGAACAGCCAGAACGACATCCGCAACGGTTCTCGGGGGTTTCGTGGCTGGCTTCGCCTTGCGCGGTTGTTTTCTCTGTAAATATTTCTCTCAACTGAAGTATAATCATGGCATCACATAATTTGTCCGGTGGTATGAAGACGGGGTCATAAAAAGGACCAGCCAGCTGCCATATGTCCGCCTTCAATAGGTGGGGTTATATTTATGTAAGGAGGATGAGTAATATGTCACTATTCCAGTCTAGGACAACGTTCCGGAAGACGAAGATAATTTTGGATGAGTGACAACGTCATGTCTGTTCGTCTGCTTCCTCTCACCTAGACAGCGGTTTTCGAAGTGGATCCAAATTCCTTTCATGCGAGAGATCGATGACGAATGAAATCACTATCTCGGTGAGAGGAGGCGGACGAGCAGACACGACGTAAGGTGGTCAGGGCACGTGATACGTTTGGGAGCTCCAGGAGGGAACGCGTCGTGTATGCTCGGGGTCGTGTTCGTTTGAAATGAATATTTTTTCGGCCAGTTGATTTCTCCTGTTGCGCGCGCTATCCGCATCGTTGAGAGACTCCCCTAGGCTAAGAGTCGTACCCACTTGCCGCTTTTAGACAAGGAAGGGGTCGTATCTGGCCTGATAAGTGTTTCTCTCACAGCCCACCCCCTCATTCCTCTCTTCCCCCGAGTTATTAAGTGGAGGTTCGCCAGGCACTAAGTCGCATACAGGCTACTGTTGTTTGTGATTTGGTAGTTGCTTGGTGATACCCCACCCCCCTTCCTTCCCACCCCCTCGTTGGCAAGAAAAAACAAAATGGGAAAGGTGGTAGGAAGTTGGAAAGAGTCAGTGAGATGCAGCCCTAAAATGGGAGGCGAACTGTACCAGTGAAGAGGATAAGTGGGGGGGGAGATGGGAGGGACTCAGATTCTAAGCCAGGAACTTTGCCCAGCGACGTCCCCCTGCGAGGGGTCGCTTGCTGCAAGGCTCCCATTTCAACCAGTGCCCGATTCCTGCGGCGTAATGTCTTCCTATTGCTTTGTGAAAATAAAAATACCAAATTTGTATACTTTTTCGGAATGGCTAGTGTCGGGGATACTCCACGAACATAAATGGTTGAACCCATTCCCATTCTCCCCCCCCCCCCCGCTACCCTCCCCTCCCGTAATAAACAAACTTACCAGATGAAGAGGCGTTTCGTAGCCGTCTGCTGAGGCGTAGATAGGCCCTTCCAAAGATGTCGTCATAGCCCGATTAATGTGTCCAAAGGTGGTCGGCCGTGGTTTCTCGGCATTGCCATAGGCGTCGATTTCCTGGAGTAGCCTTGGCTCTTTAAGATTTTTCTAAGGTGAACTGGCCGCTTCATCAGCCCAGCTTATTTCGGCCATCATCCACAGGGTACCACATCTTCGTTAGGGGAGGTCTGCACTTTTCGCTGGGGGGGGTCGTGTTTGGTCGTTGGGAGAGGAAGAAGAATGCGTTTGAGAGAAATTTGCTGCGTTGGGAAAAATTTCTTCCGATTTTTGGCTTTTCTGTGATCTTGCCTGTTCATGTGTGCTATGTACTCCCTCCCTCCCCCATCCGCTAGGCAGCAAAATTTCTGGGTGAGAAACTTGGACGAAAATGTGGGGAGATACAAAGGGGGGGGTCGTACCTCCACCACTTCCACTCGTACGATGCTGTCCTGATCACAGGCCAAGAGTCTCAGCCAGCAAAACGCTTCAGTCGCTGCCAAGCTGATCTCATTCGGCGTTTTCGCGGCGTCCTGACAACTCGCAACAGCTATCACCACCGAAGCGGCGATGGCAAACACCGCCACACAGAGCAGAGATGCAAGAACTCCAGGTTTTTGGAGCAATGCCAGGTGGGCGGTGCCGAAAGAACATCCAACCGTCACGTCACCGCTCACAGTTTTTGTGAAGAACTGAAATCAGACACAGGAAATAAAAACGGAAGCGAATTCAATTAAAGGCAAATGGCACGATAAGTCGACAAAGCGTAAAAGGCCGATACGCCTAGCACGAAAGAATGTTGTGCTCCTAGCAGCGCTTGGTAGGCGCCTTTCCCGAAAAACCGACACCGTTATTGGCGCGTAATCAAAGTCGCAAGTCCTGCTTACCTAGAGCGCCCTACTGCAACCGGCCCGCCAGTAAAATGGCGTGAAGTCGGCATCAAACGCTGTACTGTTAGTTGCTGTCATTTATGAATACATTGATGTGAAGCATTTTTAACATGGATATATGAATATATACGTGCAGTCGCACCTCTCAAAGAGGTTGTCAGCACGATGCCAAGGGGAAAATCGTCCAAAAATGCTCGTCCAGCGCCGTGCACAACAAAGGCTTTTTGCAGGTTTTTGGCCGTTTAACTTCGCTTTTTCGACATCCTGTCACTATGTGGCCACCCGCTTACTATTTTTGAGGAAGAACCAAGTTATCTGCCTTATGCCCTTGAACAAAGACAAGAAGAAAAAAGAAACGCGTCACACCTCGCTAGAATATTTCTCGTCGTCATCCAGGGATTGGAGTTCTCCATTAACAACGAACCGGCGCAGACAACCGGAAAATTGCCTGTAATAATCATACAGATGTAACGAAGTAATAATGTGATCAGTAGTGATAATAGTGCGTCTTCAAGCTACGAAATAGCGGGAGTAGAAAAGACGGCGTGACAGAAGGGTCATTCATAGTCAGGAAAAGATTGTGGCCTACATTCTACGCAACGGTCGCCAGCGCTCTAACCTGTACTCTCTGTACTTTACAGGGTTACAGATCCCCCCCCCCCCCCCCCCCCCCCCCCCCCCCCCCCCCCCCCCCCCCCCCCCCCCCCCCCCCCCCCCCCCCCCCCCCCCCCCCCCCCCCCCCCCCCCCCCCCCCGGAGCCCCCCCCGCCCCCCCCCCCCCCCCCAATTGGAAGCGTAACAGATGACATGCGATGTTGATAGTTTAAGGATAATGTTGATGATATCTGATGATACCCTGTGATATCGTGATGTGATAACTCCATCATAACCGATATCTTGACGTGATACTTATCATACTTTTATTACGTCAGTTGATAAATTGAACTCCGCAGATGGCTAAGACTTGACTGGTCTGTGATGACCCTCAGATGGTCTGTCTTCAGACCCTACATATGGCGCGGAAATGAGGTGCTAGTGGAGGGTCCGCGATCCGTTCGGTCAATAATGGGTCGGATTATCGCATATGGGGTTCCTTCGGTCGATGGTTACCTGCGAAGACCAATAGAAAACAAACCAACTCTACTTACCCTCGTAGGCCATTGATTCCAAGCTGAATACGCTTCAAGTCGGCTGAGATAATCGACGGCAGCGCTATTCGAGACAACGCCTGCTTGCCGAATTCCGTCCACTTTGAATGTGATCTGCAACAATTAGGAGGTTACCAACTGTGGAGTCCTATAACTGGGTGTCCAATAATTTTAGCAGCGACATTTTTGAAAGCCAGGAAAGCTGGGTGCACAGTAATTTCGAGTTTTGCTGAAGCTGTCAGCACTTTCTGAACTGATTACGTAGAAGTAAGGCGTGCGGCTGTGTAGCGGTCACCTCATTTGCGCGTAGACCTGAGATGAGCGGGAAGGAAGCGGCTGCGCAACCTTTGCTCTCATAGCCGTGTTTTCTTCCACACCTCTGTCCCCTTGGCCTAAAGCGGCTTGAGAACTTGAAGCTTGTGCCTAAGGTCCACTATCCGCCACGCAACCGCACGCGTCCCATGGGGATCGCTTCACTCAGAGAACAGGGCGCAGTTCGGTTTGGTGGGGCACCAACTGGCACTCAGAAAGCCTACAGATTACCTTGTGAAGCCCTGCGCATTATTTTCACCGAAGTGGCTCCCTTGTACCAATTCGCAGCTTTACAAGAGTTTACCTGTTAGTTAACTTGAACTAGCAAAAGGAACTGGTGAAAATGAGTTAGTAAACTAGAAGAACTAGTGCCCCTCCCAGTCCGAACAGCGCCGAGGAGGGTTTAAAGAGCACTGATTCCTTTTGAACGCGCTAATTACGCTAATTACAAGTAACATTTACCGTTTTCCTATCCTCACTGAGTTCGAGCACAACTCGATGCCATCTGCCGTCGCCCACTGGTTGACTGCCGAGCGTGATTTCTACGGGTGTACGGTAGCTGTCGAATACGCGGTAACGTACCACTGACTATGTAAACAAGTAGCTGAGTAGTAGGGCCAGAAACATTACGTCAATAACGGCGAATTGTCCTTCGTAGGACAGAGCCACTATTGTTCCGTGCGCTTTCCGTGTACGAAAATCGATCTCTATCGATCGGCTGTTGTTACAGAATTCCAGCGGCGGCTGGAGATGATGTGCCATTGCTAAGGATTTTTCGTAGTTGTTCAGTTGGCATAAGAGTGATAGATCCTGAGGTCATTGAAATGGCTTGTTCTGCTGCAAAAGAGAAATATCTGAGTGGGGATGCGGAGTAGTTAGAGGCCGCGTAGGACGTACCTGTTGCAGCAGTTCGACAGGCCTGAAAGCCACCGACACAGTGACAAATCGCTCGTCCACCCTCCGTATGGCACACACCATCTCCGCAGTTCATCTCTGAGCACGATGTCTTACGCTTCTTCGATGCCTTCTTTAGTTCGGCTGGTCGTTTCTTTTGTTTCCGTTCGTTACTTCCAAAGACTCGCATGGAACAGTCGACACCAGCGAAACCAGCCAGACATTCGCATATTCCGGCAAGGCACACTCCACTGTAATGATACTGTAAATAGTCGAAAGGGCCACTCCAGATAACCCTTCTTGTTAAGGCACTGTTCGCAGGTTCATTGTAAGGTGGGGTGAGGGGGGGGGGGGCGGAGAATATCACCGGTTGTGCCTCTTCTCATTCCGAGCCCCTCTTGAAGATGCGGAATGTGTTTCTATATGTGTGCCTGGCAACTGAAGCTAGAGTTTCTTCCGCTGCTAGAACACAGTGTTTGAGTCCATACACGCCCCCTTTTTTTTTGGTGTTAGTACGACCCCCCCCCCCCCTCAATGCCCTGCCGCTCCTCGCTCATCGAGCTGTCGAGGCGCAGGACACTATCAATGGTTGGGATTTCAGTTTGAGTCCTGTTAACGACCCCTTCTTTTTTTGGGAGTTGGTACGAGCCCCTCCCCCGCTCCCCCGCCCTCTTCTGTCCTTACATCGGAAGCGAGCCGAGTCGTGCGGAGGGGGGGAGGGGACATGATAAGTAGCGTCGTGACCCCAGGAAAATCATCCCCAAGTCAATCACCACTTCTGCAACGATCCAAAACGAAATACGACGCCCCTACGAAAATGACTGAGCAGCGGACCCCCTCCCCCCCTTTACAACGTCCGTGAAGCGAGAAAAATCAACTATCAAAATAAATTTCCCAAGCCCAAATACGACCCCTCCCCTATTGGGGATTCCCCAACAATGTGCCTGGTTGAGCGGTGGAAGGGGAGGATATACTACACATGAAACAGCGACAATCACTGAGAAGTCAACCACCTCTCGCAGAAAGCCAGAAAGCAAGTACGACCCCCCCCCTTCACCACGTCCGTGAAGGCGAGAAAAATCAATTATCAAAACAAATTTTTCTCAGTTCAAATACGACACCCCCTTCTCCCGGATACCAAATACGACCCCCCTGTTGGAGAGTCCCCAACCACCATCTTTCGGGGTTCTTCGCGTGCTCAAAAAGGTGGGAGGGAGCGGGGGGCCGCGGTGAAGCACTCACTATCTGTTTTAGATCTCCAAGAAGTGAGAAATGAATTCTTGAAGTGAGGCCGCAGTGGGTTGTATTAGGGGCAGATTCACTATATCGGAGTCAAGAGTCAATAGGTAGTCGTGACTGGCTATTATGCCTATCGGCCAGTGCCGATTAACTGGCAGCTTCAATGAAGGCATCTAGGTTGGAAACAGAACTATTGCATTCTAAACAACGGACCATGCGAGTCCAAAAGAATGACCGTAACATTCCGCCGCAGAAACCTACTTTGTGCAGGATTTCTCACAGTCCTTCACGCATTTTCCCGTTCATTGAACATTGCCCATCAGGACAAGTGGCTCCATCGCATCGATTCACTTCATCACAGAACTCACCACCGTAGCCGAATGCACATTTACATCTGAAATATCCCATTTCTACTACTGCACGGATTGTTGTTAGCGGGGTAGTTCAAGACCACCCCACTCCCGTTAAGCGAAGAACAGAGCTAGTTCCTAGCTAGTTGACCGCGGGAAGAAGCAAAGTTTCCCCGAGGGCTTAGTTGCTTATGCATTGATTATTTGGACCTTCGAGGGAAAAACATCGTATGTTTTCGTGATGTTTTCGTATCGATAATACCAAAGGGAAAAATCAAGAGATGCTACATTAAAGTATACGCAAGCTGTTACTTTAGAGTCCTGATGTGTATGCCGGCACGTGATCCCGCTTGCAATGCCTCTGGGCAGGGCAATCATCAATTGGTTGGGCCGTTTTTGTCGACTGCTGCGACCTCCTGCTTTTTTTGGGAGTTGGGTACGATCCCCCCGGCTCCTCTGCCCTTCTGGCTCTGTCCTCCTCCGAACCTGTCGAGCGGGGAAGGGCGGTGGGGAGGAGATAAATCGACATGTGTAACGGGAAAGCCGGCGAGACATAATACGACTACCCTCTCCCGGCGACCAAAGTACGGACCCCTTCGCCTTTGTTGAGATCCTACAAACGATGGGCCTGCATACACCCCTTTTCTTCTAACAACGACGCAATACGGACCTCCCCTTGAAGCGTCCGTCTAAGGGGCAACAAAGAAACAAGAAAAAATCACTAACTCGAAACATTTGGGCCAAATACGATTCCCCTCCCGGTTGTGATTTATCACAACGATAACGGGCCCTGATCTCAGCCCCAATAAGGCTTTTCTCGGCGTCCGCGCCGCAACTAGGAAGTTCTTGGCGCGCCGATCTTACCATTGGGCACATTTTCTTACCTCGTTGTGAGAACTCCATTTGGAATACTCCAGATGGACTCCGATCCATAGAAGGACGTGCTTCCATTGTGCAGTGAGATCATCTGGCGACATTTACCTCCATTACTGCACACATAGTCATCACATAAGGACGTCTTCATTGACTGAAGGAGTGTATGCGGAAAGTCGTCTTTTTGGAAGAAACTGCGCAAGATATCCCGCGAATCGTCTGCGGCGATTACTCGGCGGTTGCGATCCACAACAGCAAGCGATAGGGTGTTACGATGCTCTGCAGCGCCGATGTCGACTGCCAATGGATAGAAGGTCTGGAAAAGGGATGAGCTTTAGCTGAGTAGGTGGCGAAATTCAGCGCCCCAGGCTTACCAGGTCCCGAAATATGAGCGCTGAAGTTCATTTAAGGAAATCGGCAACTGCCTGCAGGTGCTGCGTAAGAGGACCCACTTAAGGCAATGATGATTGCTTCGCAGGCCCGGTGCGACATTTGTAATATGTCTTTAAAGTTCGATATCGCTATCAGCACCGTTGATCGTGGCTTTTATACCCGTGGGATCGATAGGCTGTTTTACAGTGATATGGCAGTCGGCTAACATCTACAACGGAAGCTTTAAACTGTTGATGTTGATGTTCATTGTTTCAAGAGCTCAGTTTAGAGCAAGACTTACCTCAAACAGCTCATTGTCTTTTGGAGCGCATTCTGACTTGGAGCCGAAAGTCCTTGGGTTAAGGTCGATTTCTCCTGATCTACCGGCTAGCACCAACGGTTGCGTTCAAATGTCGAGGAATGAACTGGCATTTCAATGTGCAGCATCGCATGCAACCTGTAAACTGCCGATAAATTCTGGAAAGAAGAGTTCTATTAATAGTCATTCGCTTCTCCACCCTCTTCGTCACACTTCGCTCCTACTCATAGATATACAAGTCCGCATGAGGTAATGGGCGAAGGAAAGGGCGGAGACTTACAGGCTTCATCCCTTTTTTCATTGGTGCGTCTTTCCTTCTGATACGGTAGGCTGGAGGGGCGCACCAATGAGATTGGTACAATGGACGTGAGCTCCGCTCATGGTCCTGGCTGTAAAACATGTTTCAAGTAAGTGACTTGCTGTCTATTGCCTGTCCTTTACGCCAGCAAATCGGACGATTTGGACCAAGATTGCTTATCATAACGCTTTTGGATCAAATTAAGGGAATGTTACTTCTCAAGCTCCGCCCACGTTTTGAAAACTATGAGCATAAATGATGTACTAATCACGCAGATCGGTGACATCCGTTTCTGGAAAATGGACTGTAGTAGGACAGCATTTACTGAATATCTGTGATAAGCGATAGGCGGAGACTCACAGTCATTATGCCTACTTCATTGGCGCCTTCTCGTATTCACCTCACTGTGATGCACCAAGGGGTTTGATGGTGTGTGTCTCCGCCCATCCGATTACCACGGAGTGAGCCATTAAGGTGAAGAATCACTTTTCTTTGCAGTCAGGATTTGTAAAGTTAAGTGCCCTGCTTTACACTTGTAGCTTCACTGTGTTACCGTGTTGCTATCGATAGCCCCAGTATTGGTTTATCGATCCCCAGGAAGCTGTAGATATTTCATAGAGCTGTCTCATAGACTAACTTAGCCCTTGTATAGATCTAAAACACGTCTCAGTATCCCAGTTCCCTTACTTACTGGGATGCGAATGCATGGCGCAACGACAATTGATTCATCGATGCCCCAGGAGCTGCGCGATCCGCAAAAGCTAAGGTTCCCAAAGAAGGGCACTCGAAAGCGACCAAAACAAGGGTGCTTCAATGTCGCGAAACAAACACGTGTTCAGAGACACACTCCATATCCCGGAAATACGAAGGGCGTGGCTGCGCACACCATTCAAACGTGTGGCAATCGCTCTGTGGTGAGCATTACGTTTTAAGGACAAAGTGTTAAGCACTGTTTGTCTCCAAGACCAGGAGATAACAGTTGTGTCAAATTAAGATGTCTCAGAAAGAGCTCATCTTAAGCCATGCTAGAACGAAGTACGTAGCCACGCCCTCTCATCTTCCTGGCTGTGGAGTTTATGAACTCACCACTACACGTTGTGTTGATGGCCGTCCATTTTCCGGCTGTGCAATTACTGGAACATCATAGACACTTCGAATGGTATGATTCAACGGTCGCAGAGACATCAGCATTCCTTCGTTGGATACGGTGAATATCTAAAAGCAAATTCACTCCAATGCAACACAACGTTCCGTTTTTTTGGCTACCCATGTTCGAACCGCGTTCTAATCTAGCCTTCAGCTTTAGGCAGCGCCGTCCCACAACTTGAGACTGAATTGAGATTGCAGGCTGGTGTAGTCCCGGTGACAATTGCAGTGGAGGCAGGTGGATATTTCACATTTCGAAGTGACCTTCAAACGACGCTATTCGGCTTGGTTAGGAACCTAAAGTCCCTAACATGGGACTGCTTCACTGTCATTACAACCGCTAACTTAGGTGCCTCCACTTAGGCGGACTGGCAGCGGATCCAAAGTTTTCAATTCATTTTTTTCGTGGAGGCAACGGTGGCTTCAGTCGCTGGCCATCAGGAGCTGCAGAAGGCGCAAGTACCTTGGTTTTTAAGAGGAAACTTAAGGAAGTTGACATACCGACTATTGTGGGCATTCAAGATTTTTGAAAGTTTAGGGTCTGGACGGTCTCCGCTTGTGAGTATTTGTGTTGCCAAGTTTGTTGATGTTCTGGTTATTTTTCTTTGTGTCGATTTGTTTTGTAACTTATCTGTTTCGCTCATAATGTAGCGCACCCGTGTGTGCATGATAAATAAATAAATAAATAAATAAATCACTTGTGCAGCAGCCACAGGAGATAAACAGGTCTGCACCAAAGTTAAACTGTTAGTTGCCGTGAAGCTAGGAAAAGAGAAGCTCGCGAGAGTGGCAGACACCCCTCAAGGCCGTACAGCGGCCGACAATTTTGGCCCGTTTCTCTCAATTGCGCGCCCCATGAGTGGGTTTTTACATGAACCGGAAACTCGGAAGTTGGTGAGGTGTCAAGATTGGGGGTTCTATTTGCGAAATGTTGCATGCATGCTGCAAGACGTCACGCCGTGCTGGTCTCTCAGTCTGCTAAAGTGTGAGGTGTCGCCTCCAAGGCCGAACAACGCCTTACAAATAATGCTCTTTTGGTAGGTAAAAAAACAATCATAACGCACATTACTTGTTGTCAGTACTGGAGCATTATCTCCAGTCGTATCATAACAACTGCTTAGGCGTGTTTACATCTCTGTTTTATCCTGGACTTTTTTTGTTGATTTTTATATTTTTTGCCCTAAAGGCCAAAGTATGCGCCATAAGCTTCGGTAATACGGCGAGAGAATGTATCCGCGCTCCGCGCGCGCGCGATGGAAGCGGCGTTTTCTTAGCTGTTGTTCAGCCTATCGATGAGTTGCGCAGCCGATTTCACGTGGCTATGATGTAGGCATTTATGTCAGTTTTCGAGCTCTATAATCGCCTATTGTCGCATCTATGGCCTGAAACGGCATCGTCACTTGCGGCGCGACGTCGCACGCGGACGTGCGTCCAACGCGCGAAATTACGATTCTCTTGTCACATACCCATACCTCTCTAAGCCGCCTGTCCGCGATACGATACGTCAATTTTTGTCCATGGGTACTGGGCAGTTGAGCGATCGCAACCGCTGATACATTTTCCATCAGGAAATCCCACAATAGGATAATCCACTGGTTCCGCTGGGACTACCGTGATGTCTATTTCACTTCGAGACCTCGTTCTGTTGCCGCATAGTACCTAAATCAAATAGCATCTGTAATGAAGTCCGGATAAATTTTTCCTCTGATGTATTATACATAGTTCTGACAATTTCTAGTTCTGATAATTTTCAACATCGATTCGATTACCTCAGCCACCAGCATGTAGTGTGTCCTCCTGAAGTGTCCACATACGGCCAGTGTGCTGGCTTTCAGGAAACAGAATGCCTAAAGAGATTTCATAGTAGACACTTTCCGCGATAATCAGTTGGGCGGAGATCCACAACCGCTGTGCTTTCCCCACTGACGCGCTTCTCCTTTTCTACAGTCATAAAATGAAGAGCACGAAGAGCACACCAATGAGGAAGGCACAATGGTCATGTGTCTCCGCCCATCCTCCCATTCCAAGCCTTTAATCATGAAATGGGATGAATAAGCACACGTTTCTATCTAACCTTTTCTGAATCACCGTCGACGATTGCTAGAAGACAATCGGTTGGTACGGACATAGAAAAGTCGTGGATTACGGTATCGATGGGCGTGTTTTCGGAGATGTTGAAAGCGTAAGCGGTATTCGAGAACACTGGCGCTGGGGCAATTTGTGAAGCGGCCACTTGCAGCTTGGAACTGAAATCATAGAATTTCAAAAAGTGGAAGAAACAGGATCTCTACTGACTGTTTACAACGCTCTGAAATAGACTTTTCCAGCCTTTTCAGAGCGTGGTAGTTTCAGCTATTGAGATAGGTCATGCGCACGGTGCGCGTGTGGGCGGTAGGTCGCGTTTAGGTACATTGCAAAGGTTCGCGTTAAGAATGTTGGCCCTCAAGTGAGTCAACTATAGGCCTTAACACGCGCCCCCAGACCACTAGGATATCGTTACCGAGCGCACACAGGCCCCCACCCCAAACCGCTGCGCAACCGCACGCAGATATGCCTGCTGTTTTCATCGCGCATTGAAATCAGAGAATAATTCAGCTATCGTCAATGCATATGTTGAATCCTCACGACCTACAAAAAATGTTTCTTCCGCCTATCTAAATCTGGTCAAATAATTAGCAGGCGCATCCGCATGCAATGGCGCGGCGATTTTAAGTATGCTTCGCGAAAGTAAAGGTTTTGGGGGGCAGTTCGGCTTGGTGGGGGTATTTTGTTGGTTCCCATCGATCACTGCCGACGTGCACTGCCTGCTGGGACGTGTAAGTTAGCATGAATTACTGAAAAATCAGCGAAAGTGCGAAGTGCCCCCTCTGAGCCGAACAGCGCCCGTCTTAGAATTGAGATTGCAATCGCTCGAAAGTCAACATAGCGAATATCAATCGTAGGGAAATGAACAGGTATGTTCGCGTGCGGTGGCGTATAGCGTACCAATCAGATGGCAAACACAGGTTAAATACGCCGAACACCGCTACGCGACCGCACACAGCCACGCCCTCTGACCCTACAAATACGCCGAACACCGCTACGCGACCGCACACAGCCACGCCCTCTGACCCTACTCTCTCGTAGAATGGCGTTCAAATAAATTTACAGTGCACTCTATACCCAGAGATGGGAGGGGCGTGGCTGTGTACTTCATTCAAACGGGACGGCGGCTGCGCTTTTAGTGGGATATCTTCGTTTTGGGGGTCACTGTAATCATGCCTCTTCCCAACCCAAAAAAGCATGCCACTCTTCAAACGGAGATGCCTTACGCATCCTGTGTGAAGTACGAAGCCACGCCCCTTCAATTTTTGGGATATGGAGTGTGACAGCATGAAAAAAGCAAAGAGATCTGATCTTCGAACTGACCTTCTCAGAACTCGTCCAAACTTTGGATTTTGCATATATTATCATCTGATTATCGCTGGTTCCTCTATCACCGGTCACTCTAACGTCTTTCGCATCAATCGATAATTGATCATTCCTCTCAGCAAAGATTTCCGTCGCATATGATGACACGATAGTTCCAGCCATAGCACTTTCGCTTATCGTCACGTTCTCGTCTTGAATGTTCGTGTCCTTCGGTATCATGTCGATCAATACGACTTTGACCGTTATCGATTGGCTCTTATCGCTGACTGTCCAATCAATAACTGGTGGAACATCGCTGGGGATGGAAATGCAGTTGTCGGTAGTGATCGTATCCAGAGGTGTTGAGACGAAGTATTGAAGATCGTTTAGTGGAGTGTCGACGTCCATGACGCTGGGGCAAATCGTCTCGTCAATAGTTGTTACCTAAAACGTTCCACAGATTACCGTGCACTTGTTTTCCGTGTCCCTTCTCTCTATCGCCTTAGTAAGGGTACACCAATGAGGAAAGCACAACGGCTAACTGTCTCCGCCCATGCGATGCACTGTATCGCTTCTCACATTTCCTTGAATACCTACATCTTGGAAGTGCGCTTCTCTCTGATCTTATGGACGGAGATGGTCAGTCGCTGAACCCCTCCTTTTCATTGCCTTAGGGATGGTGCAGCAATGAGGATTGCATGACGGTCCGGACGGTCTCCGCCCATAGAAACGGCGTGGAATGTGCGTTGAAGATGTAGTAAAAGTGGGATGTTATACAGTACTCAAAGTAACTCACCGCGTAAGTTAGCTCAGCGCTTTCGATAACCGGTGGATTGTCGTCAATGTCCAGAAGGTCAATCACGACTTGGGTAGTAGCTGAAATCAAATGATTGGAGCTTTTCCGCGTTAACTCGTTCGTGATGGGTCAGGAAATCCAAATGCGGCAACTTGCGAAAAATACTTCAAGACGCTCTGCACCCCGTGAATAGTTCGGCTTGGCTACTGTGACACCTTAGATCGTTTAGGTGCTGGTATAGAAGCTCTTCTGAGCTGACCCATCCGAACGAGTTAACGCGAAAAGGGATGACGTCAGTCAAAGCGCCAGGATGACTAGGCATATTAAATTCATGGTCAGACCTGAGCTTGTAGTCTACGACTGAACAAAATTGAAGTTGACTAGTCTCAGGGCACCTTCTGGAGTTGGGGAGAAACACGAACTCACTAAACACGACCCGTCCCTAGAAATTCCGCCCCTGGTACGTACCCCTCCCTTTTTCAGCGTGCCTTCCCTCTCACCAACCTTTTCGTGGAGAAAAATTGCGGGAATAAGTGCAGGACCGCCCTCCGATTAACTATCTGAAACAGTAGTTTACGCCATCAAATCAAAATGGGTGGGGGAGGTATATGGTGAAATGAAGTAAAATCAACAATCAGAATTTTTTTCCAGTCAAATACGACTTTCCTCCTGGTGGGCAAATACAGTTCCCTCTACATCCCCCCCCCCTCCCCTTGGGAACGCCCGTACATGTACACGTACGACGTGCCCTGATAAGTCTTCCTGTTGCTTTGACCTTGAGCCTCATCCCAGTCTAAACCACACTCCTGAGAGTTAGTTAGTGCTGGCCCAGTTTTCTCACGGAATTTAAAGCCAAGTTTTTGGCGCGGTTTCGGCTTCGGAGGGTATTTTGCAGTTAACTGGAGATGGTATAAGTGAGCCTTTTTGGTTACTTGCAAATTGCAGATCTTCACGAAGTGGCCTGCGCAGGCTTCGCCAAGTACATTTGGTGCCCACATCAAGCCTAACAGCGCCAAATTGTTTTGAGCCCCATGGAGCTTCCCAACTTTCTATGGTGGGCGGTGCCATCAGCAGCGTGCGGTCGCGTGGCGGCCGACAATCGCGTGTGCATAGGCTCGTCGTCGATGAAAAAAGTGACTTAGAATAACTTACCGTTCCGCGGTGGCTGTCCCTGATCTGTGGCAGTCACGTTGAAGACGTATCGTCGCTGAGCTTCATAGTCCAAGGGTCCAGAGACTACTAGAGTCCCATTCGAAAGTATATGAAACGGCAAATCAGGTGCGTCGATATGGTAGCGTAGTTTCCCTGCGAGACCCGCATCAGAATCCTTTGCATAGGTTACGCCCACCGCGTCACCATATTCCGCATCTTCTGGGACAGCAAAACGGAAACTGAAGATGTCGTAATTAAATTGCGGAGAAAAAGGGTGCTCTTGAAAACTTACATTTTACTCTCGAAATGCGGCGAATTGGCGTTTCCCTGGCTCAATTCCAATCGTACGGGGTGTACGGTTGCCTCGCCATCCTCCAGTTCACAAATAAGTCTCACGTCAGCATCCTTGTGAACCTCTCCACTGGTAATAACTTCTCCTTCTGAGTTAATCGTTAAGAGCGATTCATCCGAGAAGAATCTCCGTATTGCCTGAAATTCTATTATTAGCTCCAGTGCCTTGGATATATGTATTCGAACCTAACAATCAATAAGATTCGAAGTATCTGTGTCGGCGCCGCAGTTGCCGAAACGTGGGCCACTTTTGAACCAAAATGGCTGCTCCATAAGTGGTCCAAAAAGCTTGGCGTTCTCTAGCACTTCCACGCTGACTAACTGGCGTCGCTATTTTTCGAGCAAATACCATTTTTTCATGGCGATTCTAGAAGCTTCGCGACGCGCGCGCCTTCAAAATATTTCGTCAGCCTTGTCTGTTCTATAGAGACTTCACTACCGCTACATTTATATTATATTCGCAATTATCTTCCATTTGACCGGAGGCCTTGAATGTGTAATGCCGTTCGGCTCGCAGAATTTGTCGAATTGCCCTCACAGAGAATCTATGGGGCCGTGTAATTGAAGCCCCCCCCCTATTTACTACATTTGCTGCTTTGAAATTGTATTTATGACTATTTACTGCGACTTTTTCTAGTTTCACATTGAACTCGTTAACTTATTACCCCTGTGACCGCTAAATGTCTCCTATATGCGCCATAAGTTAGATTGAGGTCACGGTAATGTTTTAGCTGATGGATGGCTAAATGTTTGTATTTTTTTCTTTTTTTTTCATCTTTCTGCATTTTGGTTCCGACCTCATTATGGTATCAAGGAATGTAGCGCACCTAGGAGTGCATATAATAAATAAATAAATAAATAAATAAATAAATAAATAAATAAATAAATAAATATGTATCAACACGGCCGGCTCCGCCACAACTGGCCTCGCCCACTAATTGGGCAGTTTATTTGTGATATTAGTTTATACTTCAATATTTAAATTTTTATTCTGTCTCCCTTTACCATTTCACAAAAGAAACCAGTAGTCTTACCTTTCTTCCAGTCATAAAAGTACAGTACTCTTCAATGTTTCCGAGCTTCGTTCCTATACGGGTATCCTTATTCACGGCCAATTCACAGGTACCTTGATGCTCCGTAGCCCGCACCAGAACCACATGCACTGACGAGAACATTGCTGGCACGCCATTGTCTTGAGCCGTTACAGTAATCTGGAAGCGTGTCTAGTCCTTTATTTACAGAACTCTAAGCTCACTAGTTACAGGCGCTGCTGTACGTTTATCAGTCGACGGTTCAGTCACGTTGGATACAAGAGAGATTCCGCGATAAACGGATAGGTGGAGACTCATGTTATGTCCTCCTCACTGGCGCGATTCATTCCAAGAGAGGAAAACTGCGCTAATGAGGAAGCCTCGACTGTGAATCTCCGCCCACATTCCATGCAGCGGACTGTCTTTAACCAAGAGCTGATACCCAGTAGGAACTTTGCTGACCTTGTCGATGATTCCAGGGCGCGCCATAGTTTTTTTAGAAGAAAAAGAATGCATGGCGCACTCCAAGGCTAAACATAACTTACCTTGGTAATACCTTTTTCTGGTAGTGCTAACAGTTTCAATTCACCAGTGACAGTATCGATTGAAGTGTACGGTACATCACGGTGAACACGGTAGTGTACAATGCCATTCTCGCCTTCATCTGCATCTTTGGCCAATACTCTCCCAAGCGTCTGATTGGCCTAGGAAAAGAACCGCAATGTTATCGTGCGAAGGGCTCTCTAGTTGCAGGCGCATTCCACGATGATCGGATGAGCGGAGAACTGGGTGGAGACTCACAGTCATTGCGCTTCCTTCATTGGTGTCCCCATCGTCGTTACCGTACCAGTAGCAGGGGCGCACCAATGAGAGATGTACAATGGCTGTGAGTCTCCGCCCATCTTCAGATCACCGCAGAATGTGCCTTTGAGTCGCGTTCAGAGTTCGCGATGTATCGCCACCTGATCAGTACGTATCTAAATCACTACATCCGTGGCATTATCAGTAATGCTTGGAAGGACATTCGTCGATCCTGCTGGCACTTGTAAAGATCGATCAATAAGTATCCAAATCGTTGTCGACGTATAAATCGATGACTCGCGAACTCTGAACGCCGCCAGTGGCACGCATCGCGGCAAGCAATACCTGCCAGGTCAGTAAAGAACAAACACATATTGCTTTATTCTCGAATAACAGCGCCGCATATCATGACTCAAGTAACACTGATTTGCAGCACCGTCTGCTTACTGCCAATCTTCCGTCACTAAAAAACAACGTACTCGAAAGTTCTGACGACGATGGTCTGAAATGTAACCGTGGACAAATGACTGGTAACTGCACAAAGAAGGGTACCCAATTAGCGTACCTTTTCCCGGTCCAGCGGCTGTCGAAGGTAGATTTGTCCGGTGTGTGGATCGATAGAAAACGGTGTGGTTGTCTCGTTATCGATCGAAAATGTGTGATTGCCAGAGCCATCAGGGTCCGAAGCGGATATTATGAGGACTGGTGAGCCCACCTTAATAGGGGTTAAGTTTTGCGTTAAAATATGATGTTAAATGGATGGGTGACGATGTCAGAGTGCCATGTTGGCTGCTTCGTACTGCATGCGCCGGTCGAGGATCCAAATCCCGCCAACCGGAAAACTCGTTCAAGCCGTCTAAACTTTCCCTGTCTTAGGGCCCGGTTGGTCGCTCGCCTAGGGAGCTGGAAACGGTAGCCTCCATATTGGCAGTGACAATACAATCGTGATCTTCGCCTGCGTGGGCGTCGTGTTCGACGTCGCGCCCGCCAAATGCGATGTTTCCTGGTCGTAGTTGAGGACAGTAGGCATTGTATGAGAAAAAAAAATAGCTACAAAGGTCCACGATACCGTAGTTGTTCTCAAATCTGGCGCTCCAGTAGAGAGGCTAAGGGCACAATTACGGAAACGCCGCTCCCGTCGCCGCGCGCAACAGAGCGACAAATCACGAATGTCTTGACCGTCTTCCGGGCCACCGCAAGAATGAGACCGCAGAACTACCGCATGCGTGCTGGGGCTTTGCCCATCATTCAATAAGGTGGATGGAAGTCGAGTTGCGTGGCGTATTCCCACCGAGACAGAACTTTGATCCACACCAAAGGATTAAGCTTTTTTTTATCCCTTTGTACGATGCACAGGCAAGTATTCCACTATGTGAGCTTATCCCGTCAACTTGAATCATGGGGTTAGAAATCCTGCGACGCGTGCGGTCGCTATGCGGGCTACCCTATTCGCCCCATCTAAGGAAGCAAGACATCAAGGCAGCACTGCCTTGTATTCCAACGCACTGGATGGGATCTCTCAGAGGCTATTGCAAATGACGACGCTCACCTCCAAATCCTCAAGAACTTCAGCATGAAATACTTTTTTTTTCTTTTTTTTTTTAGATGAGAAAACTTTGGTGCACTTTATCGTCTTCATCGAGCACTTTCACCTGAAAAAATCGCGTCACTATAATCATTTCTAGACGGAAAAGCTTCTATAAAGACAGTGAGCACGATTGCTGGAGGCGGGCGTTTGTTGCCATTGTCATTGGTGGAAGGGCTGCGAGAAGGCGTTCAGCCACACCCCATTTATCCCTCCCACCCAATAGCCGTTGGCGGCACAATCGCCCCACCCCCAACGATATAGTCACTGCCTTTGAGGCACTGGCGCACAATATGAGATGCAGGGTAGTTACGGAGTTGCGTGACTTGCCATGTTTCCCTCACCGTTATCGCGTCAAAAAAAACGTGCGGCGAAATTACCTCTCAACGATTAGCTCGGTGCTGTGGTGCGCGTTCGTCCGCTGCATCTGAGCCGATATGACTAATCGATTAACTCGGATATCGATTCCCTGTCCAAACACTCCGTGAGCGAATACAGCCGGCATTTCTCGATCCGATCGCAAAAGGATTTCAGGGAGTTCCTTGAAAGGTTTTATTGGGTCTGTTTGAAGAGGCGTTACATATCATTCATATCACAAATATGCGAGACGGGCCGAAGCATGTTACCCTCATTTGAGCATGGCGTAAAACTCGTTTTTCATGGGATATCGCATTTGAAGACAACTGTCATCCTGTATTATTTTGGATGAAGTCATGATTACAATTGTCCCAGCCGCGCTATCCCAACAGAAGCCACAGCCGCCGCCAACATTCAAGTGAAGCACGCAGCCACGCCCACCCTATCTCTGGGGTATGGAGTGTGTGATTCCCGCAGATTCATCTCCTCTGCGTCTCTAGCTTAAGATGTATTGTACAACTCTACAGATTGTAGGCTTTTCGTATGGGCGGAAACAACCAATTATTTTGCCTTTCTGATCTACGTTCCTCTCCTTTCAACCGTCTAAGAAGGAGAGACGGAAGAGGAGAAGGTTGGTTGTCTCCGTCCACACGATTAGCGTGGATTGTGCCTCTGAGTGGTTTTACTCGCTCACCTCTTGTAATCGAGTAGGAGATGTTGGCATTATCGCCCTGGTCTCGGTCTGTTGCATGGACGCATAAATGTTGCTTGGGGTCCGAATTCTCCATGATCTTCATCGAGTAGATTACCTGAAGTTCACTCATTTACCTTAATGTTACACTTGCTGGAGCATGTTACACTTGAGCTTCGCAGGCGTGGGACGCGCGCGGTCGCGCAGCGGCCCCACTGTTTGAAAGCCCTGCCGCAACGCTGGTGCACGCACCAATCTCGGTTACGTTGTCTAAGTGGTACTATTTGAGGAGACGGTACCTTTTCAAATATTGGGCTGTTGTCGTTCACATCCTCCAAGATAATATCGATCGATGTGATCGATAATTTTGGTGGGCTATCCGAATCGGTGGCGGCGAGCCACAATCGATAAGATGGTCGACTTTCTCGGTCCAGAGTACGTCTAAAATTAGGGATAGTATAAAGTGACCGATTAATGCACCATTGTCATTAGGGTGCGATGCGGTCGCGTGCGGCCTGTGATGTCACGCCCGGTAGACAACACTGTGAACGCAACTGACTGCTTTCTATGGAAATAGCATTTGAGCGTAATCCTATAAGTAATAAGAAATCACCTGATCGATAGTTTCCCCGAAAGTGGATCGATATCGAAAGAGCCGTCATTACCGCTCAATATTGAGTAGGTTATGTAAGAGTCAGCCTTCGATGATGTTGCCGCAAACTGGAAAACCTCTTCGGATGTGTCCTCACGCAACGATGTTCTATTCATCGTTGATATCCATCTGAATTTTATGGTAGGACTATAAATTGCTCTCTGTTCCACAGTTGGAGACACACTCCGCTTTAATCATATGGGCGGGCACATCAATCGGTTGCGCCTTCCTCAATGACGCCCCCCTCTTTATTGTAGTAGGCCGCGTTCATACTTCGCGACTCGCGCGACTGCGACAGATCGCGCTCCACGCTGGAGCGCTGAAAATTGTGATATAAACTTTATCTTGACTGTGACTGAATTAGTATCTGCAGTGGTCCAACTGTTAGCGGTGGAGCGTGGCCAGCAGTTTCTCAAATCGCACGAATGAATGGATTGATTCGCGAAGTATGAACGCATTCTTAGAGGGGAGAGAGCACGTTATAAGTAGAGGCGATGGGTGTGAGTCCCCGCCCATCTGGTCATCGCG